TTCTAACTTTGGACTTAGTTTTTCCTTTTTATCTACTTCTTTGAAGTGTAAGTTAGGGTGTTTACTTGAGATCTTTCCTGTTTCTTAATGTAGGCACTTATTGTTATGAAACTTCTTTTTGCTGCATCCCATACATTTTGGTATGCTCTAATTCCATTTTCATTTGTCACAGATATATTTTTATTTTTCTTTTGATTTTCTTGACCCATTGATTGTTTAATCTCCACATTTATGAATTTTCTAATTTTCTCCTTGTAATTGATTTCTAAAGTCATACCATTGTGGTAGAAAGAGTTGCTTGATATGATTTCAGTCTTCTTAAAAATTTTAAGACCTGTTTTGTGTCCTAGCCTATGATCTATTCTGAAGAATATTTTGTGTGTGCTTGATAAGAATATGTATTCTTTGGGGGCGCCTGAGTGGCTCAGTTGGTTGGGCGACCGCCTTCGGCTCAGGTCATGATCCTGGAATCCCTGGATCGAGTCCCGCATCGGGCTCCCTGCTTGGTGGGGAGTCTGCTTCTCCCTCTGGCCCTCCTCCCTCTCATGTGCTCTCTCTCAAAAAAAAAAAAAAATCATAAAAAAAAAAGAATATGTATTCTTTGCATGGGATGGAATGTCCTTTTGTAAATATCTGTTAAGTCCATCTAGTCTAATGGGACCTTGAAGTTCAATGTTTTCTTATTGATATTCTGTCTGGATGCTCTATCCATTATTGAAAGTGCGTTACTGAAGTCCTCTATTATTATTGCATTGTTGTCTATTTCTTCCTTTAGGTCTGTTAATATTTGCTTTATATACTTAGGTCCTCCTCTGCTGGGCACATACATATCTACCAGTGTTATATCCACTTGTTGGATTGACCCCTTTATCATTATATAATGACCTTCTTTGTCTCTTATTATGGTTTTCCCCCTAAAGTGTATTTTGTCTGATATAAGCTTAGTTAACCCTGCTTTCTTTTGGCTTCCATCTGTATGGAATATCTTTTCCATCCTTTCATTTTCAGTCTGTATGTGGTCTTAAAGCTAAACTGAGTCTCTTGTAGGCCGCATATAGTTGGGTCTTATTTTTTTATTCATTCAGCCAGTCAATGTCATTTGATTGGAGGATTTAGTCCATTTACATTTAAGGTGATGATTGATAGGTATGGGCTAACTATTGCCATTTTGTTAATTGTTTTTTGGCTGTTTTTAATTCATTTGTTTGTTTTTTCTCTTGCTCTTTTCCTTTGTGATTTGGTAATTTTCTGTAGTGGTATGCTTAGATTCCTTTCTCTTTATCTTTTGTGTATTTACTATAGATTTTTGCTTTGTCGGTACCATAGGCTTATATAAAATCTTATATTTGTAACAGTCTATTTGAAGCTGATAAGTTTGAATGCGTACTATAAAGCTCCACATTTTTACTCCCTCTACCCACATTTTGTTTTTGATGTTACAATTTATATCTTTTTATCTTGTGTATCCATTAACAAATTATTGTAATTATAGTGATTTTTACTACTTTTGTCTTTTAATTGTCACACTAAGTTTATAAGTGATTTAGTTACCATCATTACAACATTGGAGTATTCTGAATTTAACCATATACCTACCTTTGCCAGTGAGGTTTATACTTTCAAATGTTTTTCTGTTACTAGTTAGTGCCCTTTTGTTTCAGCTGTCAAAGCTTCCTTTAACATTTTTGTAAGGTCCACCTAGCAGTGTTGAACTCCTTCAGCTTTTTCTTTTCTTTTTTAAAGTAGGCTCCCCACCTAACATGGGGCTCGAACTCATGACTCTGAAATCAAGAGTCTCATGCTCTACTGACTGAACCAGATGGGCACCCTGAACTCCTTCAGCTTTTGCTTGTCTGGAAAACTCCTTCTCTCTGCTACTAAAACGAAAAGCCAATTCTAATATGCTATAACAACCATCCCTCACAGCTGTATACGATTTGAAACCAGAATTTTATATATATGACAACAATGTCCTTATCACCTGTATACTTTGCTAGTCTATTAGATAAGATAGACGAATGTCAATGTCCTTTGGTATTATCACTAACAGTATTAGTCAGATAATCTTTAACAAACCTCAATTAAAATTATTCCCTTAGTGATCTTAAAATATATGGAGGAAGTTTTAAAGACTATTTTTAGAACAGAAAGCAGATAGCGGTTCTGATATCAGATACTGTGCATGGAAGGAAGGAAAGTCCTACAAATAATTAACAGCAATTCATTTCTCTGTGGAAAAAAAGTGCTCTATGATGACACACTGTAAAGTGATTTATAGCATATTGACTCTAATTCTTCTAATGAAAAAGCAATTGTCCAAGTTCTCCCTGGAGAACACTCAGCAACAACAATCCATGCACATGGAAAGTCATGAGTTAGAAAACGAGAACCAAATGAACTCACAGCTGGGAAAAGCCAACAATAATTAATTTAACACCAGCCATTTGTAGAGAACATGTATACATTTCAAAATTTCCCTTGAGAGGAGCAAGGTCATTGAAGGGCAGAGGCTACATACTTCAACATGTTCAAAGAATGTTTACTTAATAAGATAATATGCTCCAAAGGTTTTACATAAAAAAAAAAATAACAACTCATCTTGGACTAGGAGGTTAGGATAAATAGTTGGTAATACCATCACTTGAATTTCAATATTGTAACAAGTGTTTCTGAAAAACATTGCCAAAGTGAGTTCTCGTTGAACTTGAACAATATATTCCTCAACAGCAGCAGAGAGACAACAGTGTCATTAAAAGGGGCTTTATTCTGACTCATTGGCTAAGAAAATGGAACAGTTTGAGATCTTCCATGTTGCTTCATTTTATGAGCGGCGAGAATTTTTCATGTCCTTATTAAAGTAGTTAATGTATTTCTCTAGTCTCATTATCACTGCCAGAATATACGCTGTTGTTTCATAACCAAGACAACTCCTTTTCGTTTCAGAGAAGATCAGAAAGTCAAATCTGATTGCTCACATGTGGTTGTTAATAAAACTCCCATGGGGCTGCTTAAGGTGCCCATGGGGATTGTACAATTATTTATATTTTCTTATGGTTTTCTATAATTACTGTGATTGTATTTTCACAAAGTAAATGTATCTCCACCAATTAAAGCAGTGGTGGGTTAAGAATATTCATCAGACTCGTGTGAAAGGATATTGTTCTTAGGGTTTTGATCAAAGCACAGAAATTAAACTGCTGTTATCATGCATTCAACCCAAGTGTTAAATTAAAATGCTCAGCAACTTTGGAGTCTATTTGAGCAGATGTTAACTATTTATGAAAATAAACATGATACAGGACTTGCATTCATGATATGACTCACTGTTGCATTAAAAGTGCTGGGAAAAAAACCTACTACACAAATCACGGGGGATATGGTTTATGGTATATGACTGATTTGAATTACTGTTAATTCAGGTCAATTTAAATTTTCAAAAGCATATAATTCTAATAAATCTCATTTTGCTTCTTTGCTTCTTCTTACTTCACCTCACCCCCTTTGTCTTTTTTGAAGTCTCAAGGACTAAGAAAGAATGTTCATAAAAACAAGCATCTGAGGCTATCAAATAAAAAACACACAATATAACCTTTCACACTTTCCCATATAGAAATCTCATTCTATCTAGTTCAACAGTGCTTGCAGCAAAAGTGACCAGCTGTACTTCCATTCCATTAGCTGTTTGTTTGACGCTAGAATGTTAGCCTGCTGTGTGTGAGATGTGATGTCCATGTACGATTCCCATCAAAGGTAATTTTCTGTGCAATGGTGTGTAAAATTTACCTCTAATTATGATAAGGTCACTGATGGGTCATTTATGATATGTTCTCTGGAGACAACTGTGGTGAATAGCTTTCGCTGACATTCGTCTGGAGAAATTAAATTGGTCTGACCATGACTCCATAGAAAGTAAAACTCCCTTAGAAAATTATTCCTCAATCATGTTTAAAGCCCTAGAGGAACCGAGAGAGGGGCAGTATGCACACTGGTGAAGGCTGCGGGTTTTGGAATGAGGCAGACCTGAGTTTTAATCTAGAGTCACTGGGCCTAGAAGCCCTACGTGGTCTGGCCTTTGCACAATTCTTGGCTTCTATTCCTGACATTTGCTCCCTCCCTCCCCGGGCTTCCTGGTTCTTGACTATGCCACAGTCAGTCTCACTTCTGGAGTTTTTGCACTGCAAATTTTCCTGTGGTTGGAATGTTCTTCTTTCAGATCTTCATGTGGCTGGAATTTCCTTTTTCTCCTACATTCTAATCAGTGGAATGTATCATATCCACCAACTGAACTCCCTGAACATAGCCTCCTCCTTCTCCCTACCTTAAGTAGCCACCTTTTGATGCCAGTTAATCACTGAACATGATTCTACTGAGGTTCTTAAAGTCCTAATCATGGTCTTAAATTATTTATTTACTGTTTATTATATTTATTTACTGTTTAATGTATAACAAAGCTTGCATTTGACCATAAATCTAAGATGGAAAGGTATCTTGACTAGGATATTCCATAATCTTGAAACCCCAACAACATTAACTATATGGTTTTGTGGTCCAATACTGCTTGATAAGATGGATTTAAAAGGAGATCTTAGTCAGTAAGTTAGGGATGAAAAAATTTCCTGGACTGTATGTAAGACAGCATGAAAAGAGAACTAGTTATGACAAATTATTAAAATAGTCATTAGAGTGATTTCACATTTCACCGTGATCGTGGTGGGCCTCTACGAAAGGACTATGTGTTAGTCACTTTAGTTATTAACACTTTTGGAAGAGGGTTTTTATATGTAACAGTGGGTTATATTTATTTAAATCTATCAGTATTTTGCTTTCAGTCCTCCTTCCCAAGATATCTTACTTGTAGACATAATAATGACTTTTGAAATGGTTCGTATTCAGTAAATATTTGTCAGCAAATGAATAAGTGCTGGATGGACTAGAAGATCATTCTTGTGTTCCAATCCTCAATGCAAATTATAACAACAAGAGAGGTGAGGGATTCTTACCAAAGTGTCCAGTCGTGGCCACAGTATGGCTGAACATTTCCAAGGTAGAATCCCAGAGATTGAGTGACCTCCACAAGATTGGTAAAGTCAAGGCTAATGCTGTTGAAAAGGACAGATGTCATGATAATCTCATCAATGGCCCATACGTCTTCTCCCTGGGAAGAATGATATGGTTGCCACCATCTGAACTGAATTCCAAACTGTCTTGCATCATCTGGTAACTCTACAGAGATTATTCTAAAGGAAAAAAAATAAAAGTAAACATTCCGATTACTTTGATATCTTAAAGTACAAACATTCACAAAAGAATATTTTTCTCCTGTGGTACAGCATTTAAAAAAATAGTTCTCCCACTATTATAAACGTTCTTTTGAGATTTCCAATTTCTTGTCTGACTCCAAGTCCTCTAAACACATCCAAAATATGACTGCTTTCAGGAAAGCTAACTCAATAAAACACAGTTGTCAAAGTGGCAGGATTTGTCCCTTCGTCTGAAAAAGGATCGTGGGCACCTTTTTACACATATTACAGTTTGAGGCTGGTTGGAACTGTGGCACTTCCTAATTCCCATGAGCTTAGCAGTGTTTGAGGTGACTTGCTGTGTCATGGTGGCTATGACAACAAACCTGTATGTGACAAATGGGGAAGAAAATTAAGAATAATACCTAATTTCCAGGTGCAATTACTGCACACAGCAGCAGGAGACCTACATTAATTGCCACTGCAACATCTGCCTGAAAGCTCCATAAATCACCGTACCATGCTGCTCACATCCATACACAAGGTGAGATATGAAGCAAATGCCAAATGGAACATTTGTCTCCATCAATGCACACTTAAATGCCAGGAGAGGTGTTCGGAGCAAACACACACCAAAGGGACTGAGTCTTTTTCCCAGCAAGCAAAGGAAAGCTCCCTAAGACAGGTGACTAGTTGGATAATTTAGAAACAAATTATTAAAAAAAAAAAAAGAAATTATTTAAAAACTTCAATGTCGGGGCGCCTGGGTGGCTCAGTGATTAAGCGTTAGCCTTCGGCTCAGGTCATGATCCCAGGGTTCTGGGATCGAGCCCCGCGTC